TTCTCTTCTTATTATAATTAACAGACTATGAACATAGTATGAAAAAATTTAGAAATAAAAAAGCAATGATAACCTTCACTTTTTTTTTGTCATATAGTAAATACATACTTTATAACAATATCGATAACAATACACAATAATATGTGTAGTGTTGTTTTTGTTGGTGCGTGTATATGTGCGTGTGTGTGTGTATAGCTAGACGAAGATTTACAAACAAGAACAGGTAGAGAGAAAGCGAGAGAGAGACAGAGAGAGAAAGGCAGCAATAGTGAAAGAAGAGGGTATTGTGTGTTACTCTCTGATGAAGAACAAAAAAAAACACCCTCACTTGCAAAGAAGAAATTACTTGCATCTTTTCTTCTATTGGATAGCTTCTTCCTTTTCTCGGTCGCTTGTCGACGAACCGGGTCGGGAGAATAAGAAAAAAAAGCAAGCAAGCAAATAACGATGAAGTGCGGAGAAAATGATGACGTGAAGAAAAAAATCAACCAACCAAATAATAGACAGAATATAGTACTTCTTCTCTTCTTCATCTTTTGTTGTTGCCATATAGACTGCAATGAAAACGAGAGAAAGAAAGAAAAGAAAGAAAGAAAGCAAGCAAGGAAAGTAGGAATTCTGCTCAATGCACACATACAACACAATCATAGAAGGTGCGATACGAGTTCTTGTTTCTCTCAAGAGATAGAGGCAATGTATATGTATGTTTCGTCCCCTCGAGTATTTTATCATTGATGCATTGTCACGCTTGAGTTCGCAAGACGAATCTCATGTACACTCACACACATACACATCTCATTCTTTTGACACTCCCGTTACAATAGATAGAAAGCGTGTATATATATGAGTGTGTGTGTGTGTGTGTGTGTGTATATATCTATATACATAGATGTATATATATACATTTATAATTATTTTCACTAATTTGTGGGTTGGCCTAGGAGAGGAGCCAGAACAGAACAAAGATAAATCTGGTTTACAGCACAATTGTTTATTATTGAAAAAAAAGAAAGCAGTTTTTCTTTAATTAATAGAATGCCAGAAATTATAGACATAAATAAACATATATATCTTATGGAAAAAAAGAAGACAAGAAAAACGGTTAAGGGTGTGGTATACTCATCAGTCTTATTCGTTTCTTAATAGATCTTTAATCTCAGTTCGAGTGTTTAATTATTACTTGCCACTAGGATGTGCGTGACAGGTACTAGTTGATAAAAAAAATAATGACACCTTATTGACAAGAAAAGTCAAGTCAAAATGTCTTCTTCCTTCAAATGAAAAATGGGAACTTCAATATACACACATATGTTTCGGACATTTACATTAAGAACAAAGAGAAGAAGCAAATGTATGTATGTATGTATGTATGTGTATATGTGAAGTCGGCTCGGTGTAGTTGCATCAAGTGAGAGAATAATTTTGATTGCTCTAGCAGGCAAACACATTTGATTATTTCTTTTGATGAAAGGGTGTGTCGTACAAAACAACAAACGTGTCGAAAGAAAATGATGACAATGCGTTGGTTCATTTATCTATGCATAAAAGACGACGACGACGACGATTATCAACAGTTTTACAGTTTGTTTATTATGTTTGAGTGAGAACCATCATCATCATCATCATCATTATAATCATTATTCGACACTTATCATCTTCAAAAGAGACCCTTCGGCAATGCAAATTCTCATGTTGTTAAACACTTGCTAATTTCATTTTCGTTTTCTTATATATATATATATATATAAATATATATGCATGTGTATGTAAAAAAAATGATGCAAGATGGCATCTGCTGCTGTTACTGCTGCTTATATGAAAATGAAAACTCACGGTGAACAGATGGATAGAAAAAAAAAATCGACCGAAATATGATTCGTATAAAGAATATGTGTATTTGTGTATTGTTGGTCAAATCACTTATTTGAAGAGGAATGGAATATCGTACGAAAAGAGTGTGAGATGTTTTTTGATCGGGGGGATATCGACTGTGTTTGTTCTGTATGTTGTACACTTGATCACTACGGTTGCTTCTGAGATTAGAGGATTTGTGACAAACAAACTGGTGGTCACCACTATATAGACGCGTCGTACGATATTGACACAAAAAAATAACACGTTATACTCAGTAGATAAATATTGACCAAGATATATACTAGTCCTATGGATTTAATCAGATAAAAAAGAAAATCGATGAAAATGAAAACTAAATAGAAGAAGATGAAGACGAAAATTTTCAAAATAAAAAAACACTTGACGTTATTCAAGCAGAAAATGAGTAAAGCGCGTGTGTATATATATATACCATATCTTCAATTGAATAGAGAAAGATAGACACAATGATGATAAATGAGTTTTGTACTAAATTGTTTTGCCATTTATTTAAAAGGGCGAGAAAGAAACAGATCGATATCACCTATTTGAAAATGATTATCAAACACAAATTTTTTAAAGGTCAAATTAGTATTCAAAATCAAACTGATTCTTTCGAAAGAATTTAATTCTAATGAATTTTTGTTTTTATCGATAATCAATCAAGACGGTGTATCAAAGCTATAAATACGATTGTTAGATTCTTGATGCCAACACATATATATACATGTATGTATGTATGTATGTATAGAGCTCTTCTTACGTCATTTATTTTTGCCTAGAGGCTGTTATTTGCGCGTAGTACAACAACTACAAAAAGAAAAATAAGACGAAAACTTTTTCAGCTTAGCAACAGTTGTTCTTTTTTTTTCTTGGGTGTGTAACTTGTCAAGTACATGCCGACTAAGTATAATCGGCTTACAAATAGCAACAAGCCAAAAATCACCTCTCATCATTTGCCTAGTGGTTTACCTATTCCGGTATAGAAAAATGATTCTATATTTATATAAAAATAGAAAAAATCAATAAAACTAATCAACGGAAATATCGGATCGACATTTCTCATGTCTATTTAAATACATATCTGAATATATAATTAAAAACACAGCAGGTTAACTTTATCACTCAAATGTACAATGTACATATATATACAAATACATCAAACGATTTTAGATACTTATTGGTCGATGATTGTTAATTTTTTTTTTTACTTTGCCATACGGGACTCTCTTTGAATACAGTTGAGCTGTGATTGGAGATGGTGCTGCTTGTGAAGCGTGTTGTTGATGTTGATGTCTCATCTATCTCGTGGATTCAGTAAGGCGAAGGAGGTGGTTGCTTGAAAATATCTGCTTCATTAATTTTTCAATTAGCCGCACGATAGACACAACCACTACCATCATCGTTCGTTCGTTTGTTCGCGCGTGTGCGCATATAGATAGGGTTTCTATTGGTGTATACAATGTGTGAGAGAGCCCAGAGGACATCATAGGAAAAAAAACTGAATGAAGAAGAAATAGATTTCTGCTTGAACACGTTTAAAACAAGAAATCAAAATATTTCCGATAACATTTTCAATCTTGTTTTTCACTGATAAAAACAAAAAGGTCATGTTCAATACAATTGACAAGATGACAAACATTTATGTTGATAGAACCAAACCGTATGTTCAATACGCACGCGTATGTATCAAGTAACCTAATCTGTGGAACAACTGTTCATCTAGACGAACAAGACAAAAAAGAAAAAAGAGGCGTTATTAAGAAAATTATCAGTATAGAAAACAAAAGAATAAAAATGTTGTTGTTGTCTTTCTTGTTTTGTATAGATATCAAATTAAAGACATATTGTAAAAAAGCGAAGATATTTTAGCGGTTAAATGATTCATCTTAACTTTCATAGATAGAGAGAAAAAAAGAAAGCATTGCATGTCGACATCAATACTGTCGATCATCATCATCAAGAGAAAAATATGATGGAACATAAATTAATTGATCTCTCTTGTTCGTGTGTCTAAGCACGCAACTGTCGAGTACCTTGGAATTTCATATATATATATATACATTTTTTTTTAAGAATCATATAAATACATTGAGTTAGATGAGAGACAACACAAGAGCGACAAAGTCTCTTGAGATAAAATAGAGACTTAAACAAGAAGAAGAAGAAAAAAATGCAACTATCACCATCTCAATTCCAATATGCATAGTTAATGAGCAGACGTTAGGCACACGCATAGAAGAACAGATGGGTGGATGAGAAAAGAGCAAGCTTTAAACCAATTTATCCTCGTTTCGTTGAACGCGTTAATGTGAAGAATCTTCAACAAGGGAATATACATACGATGGCAGCAAACAAGAAGGAATGATAATTGATGGAGTGACTAGACTCTTATATATGTATATATCTATACACGGTGTGTGTGTAATAACATCACTTATGATCAGAAACAATGAAACAAACGACAGTAGATTCAAGACAAATGACAATGGGAATAGTATTAATATGATTTATGAACATCCGTTTGCCAACAAGATTAACTTTTCTTCTTTTTTTGTGTGTTTCCTGACACATTTACTAGACCGATTTCTCGTTTAGTATCATTTTGAAAAATGATCTACATACAGTATCAATAATTGATCAAGAAAAAAAAATTCAATTTTGATGAATTAAAATTTTATACCAGTTGAATATCTTTCTTTTGATGAACATTATGAATTAAACTATTTATTTAATCAGAATAAATAGAAATCATAGTCAAACATTAATCATTTTAAAAAATATCGATGATGTCAAAGAATGTTTGAATACGAACATAATCCTTAAAAATAACTGACAAATTTTTCTTTACTTTTTTCGAGAAATTTATTTCATCTAAATGATACATATGTATATAATTGAAATTAGCAATAATTCGATATAGAATTTTGTAATCCTCATAGATTATTTATTCGACATAAAATAAATATTAAAAAATATTGATTATATAGAAGAAATTTTTTATATATTCACATGATGATTATTTATTCGTAAGAAACTTCTCTTGTATGAAGTCTTAAGAAAAAAAAATTGAATAATTCCATTCTCTCTTTTTACAATCCGAGGTTGGTACATAAAACATAAGAATAATGAAATCGAGTATAATTGGATGGAAAAAACAATCACCCGGTGAAGTATATTGTCTACCTAATAGACAATGTTACCCACAAGATTCAATAACAAATTTCGATACTCCAAAAAAAATTAAAACAACCAGAAAAAAAGTTCGTTTTGCTAATCATTCATCAGCTAATAAACAACAAGCATTTGAAGATGTAGAACAATATAATTCAGAAGAAACTATTTTTCAAGACTATGATTCTAAACAAACATCATCGACAAATATTATTATTATTAATGAGTAAGATAATAGAATATTCGATAAATTTAACTAGAATATATATGATCTAGATTATCAACAACACCTAACAAACAACTATGTAGTGTACGAGGAATAGCTATTACATTTATAATTATTGTCTTAATTATAATAGTTGTAGCTATTGCTATCGGTATTATATTTGGTGTTGTTAAATCTTCATCAAACACAGCACAAGCAATAACAGTATATACTAATTCGAATTCATGTATGTCTTAAAATGTAAGATATTGAGCAAAAAAAGAATTTTTTTTACATTTTAGCATTAACAACAGTAATAATGACGAGTAGTGTGAGTATAGGAAGTCAAAGTGGAGCCCCTTGTTCATCCTATACAACTATCGATGATCCGACAAGAAATGTTGCGAATTCCGGAATGTTTGGTACATGTGATGAGGGACCAATATTTAATTCAAGTAATGATGGGGCTTGGATACGTTTTGTTGGTAGTAGTGGTACCATAATAGCACTCTCACCACCTGGTTCAAATCATTGTGGTGGTTATGGAGCAATATGGTTAAATAGTACACTACCAACAACCGTAGGTACTATGATCAACGGAACACTCTGTTATGATGTGGACGGTGGCACATGTTATGTTATTGACACGACGCAAATATTCTATTGTACAGGTAGTTTCTATATTTATTTTTTATCACCTGTTATTTTTTGTAATGCACGTTATTGTATTACATGATTGTCATCAGTTAGTTACACGATGAACTCGAGTTTATTTTAAAAATTTAATAATTAAAACTAATTCGTATTGAATGAATGTAATAAAAATCTTTTCAAAAAGCTTTCATATATTGTATTATCAATTCATTCATGTATATTTTTTCAATAAATAATCCATGATTAACATTTTATTCTATTTATACTATCAATAATTACAAAAAATATATTAGCTAAATTCTTACATAATTTAATCGTATGTACTAACTAGATGATATTAGTATATTAATCCTTCATAGAACTTTCTTGTTCGTAATCCGATTATGTTCGTATTTTAATAATAACATAGATTAATTCTTATATAAGAAAAAGATTGTTTTATCAGTAAACGTCTAGATAAGTGCGATTTATTATAATTAAAAGACAACAGTTAAAAAATGACATGCATATGTGTATGTATATATCTATATTTATTTATCAGTTGATTATATTGTGCATATTTCAGCGTCCTCGAGCAGTTGACGTTTTTTCCGTTTCCCCACCACTATCGATTCTTGATGTTCCAGTGGTACCTTTTTCACGTGATGTTGGTGCTAAATCCGAATATTTACTTTGTTCGTTTTGTAAAGCTCGTTTTTCTAAATTTCTAACATGATCAATTGCACGTTGTTTTAATTCTTCACGTGTTAATGGTTTAAGTTCTTCTTCTGTTCTTCCTTCTCTATCTTCATAATCACGACGATCTTCTCTATTTATTAAAAGACAAGAAAAAATATTTTATATATAAATTATTTTCAAAAATTCATTTACGTGTTTGGAAGATGAATGGGAACAATGGGTGGTGGTCCAGATGGACCATCACCAATAAGATTTGGTGCACGTTCACGTAATGGAATATTTTGTTCCTAAATAAAAGGACATTTTTTTGATTCATCTTACAAAATAAATATTCGTTTTACTTTTGCACTAATAGCTGCTTGTGCTGTAAGTAATTCATTTGTTCTCTCTTCAATAATACCTAAAAATCGTAATACATTATCTTCCGTAACACCTTCATGACTTTGTAATAAATGTTCAATTAATTGGCGATCACAACCAATTTTTGTAAATAATGAATCAATGCCTATAGAAAAAATAACATAAAGTAAATGTCAGGAAATAGAATTGAATAAAAGTATTACGGACTTGATCGACATTGATCAAGAATTTTCTTTGTAATTTGTGTTTTTTCTTCATATTCATTTGCTAATGTTATTGCGTGTGATCGTTTTTGTTCAAGTTCTTTAATTTTTTTTCTATGTTCATCTTCTAATTCAACACTTTGATTTCGAAAATCAGAAATTCTATTTTTCGTATCAAGTATTTCTTCTTGTAAACTTTCAATTTGATTATTTAATTCATTGACATAATTAAATAAAGCAAAATTTTTATCTTCAACTAAAAAATCAAAAAAATTAATTTTTAATTAAAAATAAAAAGAATTTCAAACCTTCAATAAATTTATCAACAAGTTTTCGTAAATCTGATTCACCACTTATTTCTTGAATTAATCTAAATTTAGTTTCATATGCTTGAACAGAATGTTCTTCTTTATCTTTACGACGTTTCTCCGCTGATTCAGCTTCTGAAAAACAAAAAATTAGTAACAAATAAAACAACAATCACCTATAAATAACCTTTTCGTTTTCGATATGTAACAAGTTCTTCATCTTCTTGTCGTTCTTGTGCTTTAAGTTTCATAAAATCACGTAATTTACGATCATGTGAAATTTGCCGTTCAAGTTCACGCATTTCAGCCTCAGCAGCAATTTTATCAGTTTCAGCTTTATCTATAAATATTTAAAGTTGAAAAATATTTACAAAAAGCGATCTTTATCTTACTTTGAAGCATTACTGCCTTGGCATTTGCATCTTTACTAAAAATTGTATTAGAGATAAAAACATATAAGGTTAAGCGAAGAATAGATTCCTACCGTTGTTCATATGCGATAACTGAATGATCAATACATTCAACTAATTGAGAACGTAAATTTTTAAGTTCATTCTCAGATGATTGTGATAAATCTTCGTAACGTTCTCTTTCATTTCGTAAATTATCAATTTCAGATCGTAATAAACTATTTGCTGCAAGTAAAGAATTAAATCGTTTTAAAGCCTTGAAAAAAATCAAATAATAGATTTAATAATTTTCGAAAAGAATTATTCATACTGTATCTAATCGATTTTCTAATACACGTTCTTGTTTACGAACATTTGCATTGAATGTAATTGAAGCATTGGCACCACCAGTTTCTGCTTGTTTTTGACGAATTTTTTTCTCCCACTCACGTATTTTAATATCAAGTTCTGATGTTGTTGACTTTTCATTTTGTATGCTATTTTGAAGTTCATCTATAAAGAAGTAAAACTAATTTAATTAAATTACAGGAATAGAAAACAACCTTTTGTTTGAATAATTCCTTGTAATTTTTTTGTTTTTTCTTCATCACGTTTTTGATTTTCAATACTTTCAGCTAAACGAAATGTTTTATCTAATTCATCACGTTCGGCTATTAATTGTTGAAGTGTTTTTCTATAGACAAAAAAAAATAACATTGAAGGATTTCTTTATTATTCTTATTTAAATATTACTTTTGAATTCGTAATTGATCATTTTTTTCAATACTATATTCACGTTGATCTTCACGTGCATGTCTATAATTATTTTGTAATTTAGCATATTGAGTTTCTTGAAATTCTTCATCTGAATCGTCTGCTATCAGTCGACCAGCCATTTTTTACCCAATAGAAACAATGTATAATCAAGGAGAGTAACAACGTTTTTTCTTATCGACATTCTTAAAAATGAAGTGATGGCAGTTCCTCTACAACACACATATATCATATAAAAATAAACTCATTGACTAATTGAATTCTTTTGAGTACAATGTACCAATCAATAATTGTTATAGATTTCTCATAACAACTTAAAAGGTTAGTAAATGGTAACTTGTGAATTAATGTTTTTATTTGTGTTTGTCTCTCATTAAATTTAAAAAAACACAATGAAGAACATAGGTGAAATAAAGCTCGATTATAAAAGAAAAGAAGTGAATTCTACTAAAAATTTTCATCATCTTCATCATCATGAGCTGGTCGTTGTTGTTTTCGTCCACCTCGTCTAGGATTCGCACGCGCATTTACAATGTCATCATCATCATCATCCATACCATTTTCATTACCTCCTCTACCCATATGCATTTGATCTTCATTATCACTCAGATCACCTGTCATACCACCGTATGCTCTGCCTCCTGCACCATTTTCTAATGACAAAAAAAAAGATTATTAATCAATAGGATAGAAATTATACTATATACCTAGTTGATTTCCTCGAGCTAATGGTGGTTGATCTGCATCTTCATCATCTTCAGATTCATCATCGCTAAATAAAAAAAAGAAGTTATGAGTAAAACATTCAGTAAAGGTGATCTTAGTGAAAATTCAATGTCACCAATTAGGTTCCTTTAAATGATCAGACTATTTCGAAAAAATTAAGACATACTCATCATCTTCCGAATCTTCATCGTCGCTATGTACACCAATTTCATCATTATGTTCCTGTAATTGTCTATGAAATCTTTGTTGATCTTGTTCTGTAATCTGTGAATTAATTGATTGCATATAATGTCGAGATACTTCCTAGAATTATTATTATTATTAATATATATGAAATAAATCTATTTTAAATTTACTTGAACTTTTTCACGTTGATTTCGAAAATGTCCTTCAAGTTCTTTTTCCAAATAAGATAATATACGATATTTTAAAACGTAATTTGTATATAAATCATTAAGTTCACTTTCAAATTTTTCAAAATCATTCATAAATGATGGTCTAAAAATATCGAATAAGTAAATATATATTAGAATTGAATATTCTAGTTTTTTTATATATGTACCTAACACTCTTTAACATATTAAGTCGTCGTTGATGACGATCTTTTTCTTCCAAACGTTTAGCTATTTTTTCATCAAGTGCTACTTCATCTATTTGAACATTACCGATTAATTTTTCATGGTTTAATAATTCACGCTTAAAGAAAAATAAGGGACAAATATTTCTCAAAGAAAATTTTCAAAGTATTTAACATACTCTAGCTGCACTTTCAGCTTCTTTTATACCTTCTCGAACATCTGATAATTCCATAGTTCGACTCATTACGTCTTGACGTGCTTCCTACGAATAAAATAATATAAAATATTAACATAATTAAATTGCATACTCGTGCATCAAGTTCTTTTCCTAATAATTCATGTAAATTAGCACCTTTTTGTGTGATAGTCGAACAGAGTAAACGAGCACTTTTAAGTATACCAATCTAAAAATAGAAAATTTCATATATGATTTAATTCTATACAAAATAAATATACATACATCGTCATTCATTGTATAACGATATCGATTATCAATATCATCTTCATCATCTAATTCTTTACTTTCACTATCTCTCAATGCTTTATAAAGTGGTGTTATAACTTTAAGAATTTCTTTAACTGCATAACCATCAGCTTGATAAAGTTTTTTTGTATTTAATTTTAAATGTGCTTTTGTAGCCTTAAATAAATACAAAAGAAATTGATAAGTAAAATATGTAAACAAGAAATTTTCTACAATGATTTGAGCAACTGTTCGAATAAATATGACTCGATCTTGTTCACTTTCAATATCAGTTGGAACATCACTTAATGGATCATATCTAAATTCAAAATAAAATAAAATACGAAACATAAAAAAGAAGATTATGTTCTATACTGTTTAACAAGCCATGACATTAGTTCAGCAACAAGACGAAAGTTTGGTTGACGAAAATTTTCCATTGAGATTAAACGTGGATAAGAAAGAACTCGAGCCATCTCGCAAAGATCTTAATTGAATAGGAAATAAAGCATATTATAATGAGAGAGGATTAGTTTACATACGGCTAATATCTCTGTAAGTCATTGTTATATATATTGATCAATTTAATGTTTTCTCGAAATGAAGAGTTTATAAATATGACGCACCATACACTGATGTGATTCAAAAAGAATCACCTGGCAACTTAAAAGAGTAGAGGTCGCCGTTTAATACGCGCTGGTGAACCATAATAGTTTTGAAATTAAAAAAAATACATTGATGTACATAAAGTCTAAATTTAAATAAGATCAATAAAGAGTTATTATCATAAAGTTTCTTATAAATTCTATTCTCAATTCATCTCTTAAAAGATAAAGAATGAGATACATTTTTATTTGACTCACTTCGAATCGGCATCATCAGAATTTTTGAAGTGCTTGTTATTTATTAACATTTCAAGAAATACTAGTGGCACTATTTCGGAGTGTTATTCATTATACGAGGTGTGGGTGTTTTCCAATCTAAGTGTTGGTTGCTGGCTTATGAGATTTATAGATTTCATCTAATATTGAAACAGAAAAATAGAAGAAGCGGAATATACGACACAAACTTCTCTGCATCATCGCTCCATTCAAGCGTTGTTTCAACTGCCTTCTGATGATAGATGGAAATCGCAGATCTCTAGCTAGTTGTGTTCTAAAGTTATTGAAGAAACAGTAGAGCATACTATATTATTATTTACGTTAGACAGATCTATCTTAAATAATTAGTCGTATGTATTGCAAATTAGAATATTTTAAAAATCTTTATTCTTTAAAATTCATCTTTTTTCGAAAAATGATTTAATTTCTAAGTACAACATTTCGAAAATCAGTTGAATTATGAACTTCTGTTTCAGATAAATCACTATCTTCACTGTCTGAAGTCCATCGATGTTTTGTTGTTAATGGTTCATTTTCAATAGTATTACCATCATCTCCATATTGTTGAAATCGTCGTTTTGTAAGCCATCCACTTAATGAACCTGTTTCACCACCAATTGCAATTGCTGTTGTTCGTTTTTTATTTGTTGAAATATATATTTTATATTTGCGTGTACGAAGAATAACAATTAATAATATAAAAAGTCCAACGATTAATAATAATATCCATATCAATAATATAAATAATAGTTTATGAGAATGTATAAGAACAACGATTTCGTGATAATTATTAATGTTTGTATATGTCAAATATAATATATTTGCATGATCAGTATTTGATTCAGAAATATTTGCATGATCGACGTTTGATTCAAAAGTTAATGATGATATATTTCTATTCATAATTGCCCATTCATCGGGTGTTTTATTTGGATACATTGAATTAATATCAAACAATGTTTTTGGTATATCGATATCAACTGGAAGATATCTGAAAAGAAAAGAATCAAGTTTAGTTCTATTTTTAAATAGAATTTATTTTCTTCTATACTCGTCAGCAATGTCACGAAAACGATTATTTTCACAGGTTTCTAATGGTATTTTATCATCTTGTTTCATATAAAACAGCAATGTAACTTCACAAATTTGATCACGCGATCTAAATCTAATAAATATATTTAATGATACAGTATATAATTTGAATACAATACACACTCAATAGGTAATTTATATTTATCTTCATAAATGCAAGTTCCAATTAAATAATCCCGAGCTTTAATATCGATTGAATTTTGTAGTTGATAAAAAGTTTGTGGCCAATGAAGATTCCCTAATTAAATTATACAATTATATTGAAAGGAATATTTTCAAAAAAAATACCTTTGATAATCGTCTGTGTCTGATTATTACGCACTCGATATAATGAAATACTATGACCTATTTTATTTATTTAATTATTTATACAGCTTAGTGCAAACGTCATTTTGTCCAAAAAAAATATTGGATATTTTCATTATGATTCAAGCAAACAGGCTGTTCTTTTTTCAAAGGTAGTTATGTGCGTGGGTATTATTTTTATTATACGCATATCCATTCTTACATCTACCCCCAATCATTAATAAAAAAAATCAGATTGTTTTGCTTGAATAATAATAGAGATATACAATTTCTTTTTTATGCATAATGACTTTTAACGTCACTCTGTATTTAGAATAATATAAATCATATACCTTCAGGATTTGAAAACAATAGAGCAGAAAATACTTCCATCGATGATGAATGATATTGACAAGAAAAATCAGCAAAATTTCCTTAAAATATATATGTATTAATTATAATTTAGTTTTACTTTCAATTACTTTGAAATTGAAATGCATTTGTCGATATTTCATACGTTCCTATCTGATATTTTGGTCTAATTAGTGGAAAGAAAAAACAAATTGAAATAAACATTTTAAACCAAAAACACGTTTTTCAATACTTTTTACGAGTCATAGTGACATGTTCACCATAGATATTATTACTTATAGATGAAAAGTATTTAATGTTAATAACAATATATCGATGTAAAGTATTTGCTCCTACACGAAAACCAGCATCTAAAAAATAATTCAGTTTTTATATAAAATATGGATAATAAATATACGCAAAAAATAACCTTTAGGCCATTGAATAGAAGGTATATTATGATACCATTCATAAATTAGCATTGATTGATCCATAGAAACACACGGTTGATCTCCAAACCTAAATATAAAAACTATTAGATTTATTTTTTTTCAATAATGTAAAACAAACCAAATATTAACATTTTCCTTGATTGAATATGGTTCTAAACAAAAATAAGTTGTAATGTATTGAATGTTTTCACGATCGTATATTGGATGAAAATCAACTAATATTATAAAAGAAATTCAAAATTATTTATTTTTATATAAAGAATGTTTAACCAATATATAATTCTTCATTCTTTGGCAATTTTGTGGATATAAAAACGGATTGTTTATTCTAAATATTAGATTTTCTATTACGTATATATTATAAAAATATTTATATCATACTATAGTTTGATTAATTCTTGGTGTTGTTAAAGTAAGATTAAAAAATTCAGACGAAGAATCTACTGATCGCTCGAATCCAATCAAGAAGATACATATATAGTATATAGCTTTCATAGTAACGACGAAATAAATGATAAAACTATATGAAAAAGCATCTGAAAGACATCAAGCGTGACGTTTGAATCATCAAATTTATTACCAAAAAAAAACAGAAAAGAAAAGAAAAAATCAATGTTATGTTTTATTTTGTATTTCTATCAATATAGAAACAAACGTCGATCAATATTGGTTGGAATTAAATGGAATTTATGTGAATTAAATAAAATAAGTAATATTATTTGATATATATGTTGATAATAGAGTGATTGAAAATTTATAACTACACCAATTAAAACATAGATGGCCAGATCATAATGAATGAAAAATATATCTCGAATTTGTATAAAAGAATAAAATGTTGCTAAATATGATGCCATATAAATAATATATGATGTTCGAGGACCAATATAACCTTTAAATTTTAATGTATGTAAAAAAACAGATATTGTTGTAGCAAATGCACTAAATATTAATAATAAATAAATATATGAAATTTGTTGTGAATTAGCAAGATCAAAAAAACGTATATAATTAAGAAAATATCCAATATAATGTTTAGCCCAAACGTAAAAAACTTTTGTTATGATTGTTACGATGATATAAAATTTTCTATTTGGTGTTGTTTTGTTTTTATCGGAATTTTTTAATGAATCACGAAAATGTGTTTTTGGCCATAATTGACGTAATATATATGGTAAGAATACAATAAGATTATCAATTATAATTGAATTATTAATGTAGTAATAAAAAAAATCCGAATAATAAAGCCATTGAAAAAGAAGTAAGCCAGCAAAAAATGTATTTTCTACAATAAATGCATATGATAATGTTCCACGATCCGAATAATAACCTGGATCAATTTTCGTACGTGATAAAAATGTAAATGTTAATGTTGCTATTATTGATTGTATAAGGCCAGTTAATGGTAAACTCCAAATTAAAAATGATTCTTTAAATGTTTCATAACTATAAGTATAAAAAAATTTTGTTTATGACAAAACGAAAGGTTCTAGCTTCTTTAAAAATATTTCTCTTGTTGAAGATTATAAAATTATTTCACTTTGTCAGTACTCATTCTATGTAAGTGACTATATACTACTAGAAAATTATTTATACATAAAGAGGGATACAGATATACTTTGAGGTCTTTTTTTTTAAATAGAAATTTAACATACTTTTTACAATACCAATAAAAACATAATGCATATTGTATAAGATAAAGAAGGCCAACAAGACGATGGACAAGAAATTTTTTTTGAAAAAATAAATGGAATAAAAATGTAATTAATCGATCAATTCGTTGAATTATATCTAAATTCGAACCAGTACGATTTCCAATTACAGTTGTGTCCATATTTTTATTTTGCTTTTGTTCTAATCTAATATGAAAGGAAGAAAAAGACTAAATGTTACAATCGTATACATATAGGTATATTATCATATGCATATAAAAAAATAATTGCCTCGATTTTTATGTATTTATCATAATGACAAGCGCATGTCTGTTCTCCCTCAAATGACGAAAAACAGTTGTATATATAACAGAGAACTGACCCGCCTACGTAAAATATGATTCTGTCACGCTTTATTTGTTTTGTTATGCATAAAAAAATTTCTATCAAGGATTGAGTGCACTTGCGATTTTTAACGAAAAATTGTACTTTTTAAACCGAAGCATTGAATCGCTGTCTGCGATTTCTCATTGGTTATAAATAAATCTGACTGAATCACTCCTTTTCGTGGATAAGCCAAGATTCTAATCTTATCATATATTTTTCAAAATTATATACATCCGAAAATTTTTATGATACAGTATGATTCATTTCGATAAATGAATAAAACTAACCATTAGAAAAATAACACTAGTTGCTTTCCTGACAATATGTATATATATATATATTCATTTTTCTGTTTATCTCGTATTTGATTCGTATAAATAGTTTTGAAACCTATCTAATGACATATTGAAATACTATAGAAAATATAAAAAGGAAATAAATCGAGCAAAAGATTGAAGACCATTATGTTCGAGAAAGGATATAAGTATGCTTGCTTAATTACATGTCATCTATTCTTAGTAGATAAGATGAAGCATGAAAAAAACATAATCCTGCTTTTTTTTATAAGGTTTTATATACATATTTTAATATATCTCAGAAATAATTACAAATAAATTTCCTCTCATCTACTACCGTGAAAAAAATAAATTACAATCATTATTTTCGACGATATCCAGTAAAACAAGGGTCGTATATTTATAACCTTCTAGTTAAACCAGAAGAAAGTTATACTATAGTATTATTCGACGAGAAGAACAAAAATGTGGATGTGTACTATTCGAAGAAAAACAATATACGTTTAGATATTTTTATATATATACACAAAAGATCACGCCATGCGTTTAATACATGCATAACATTGACAAAAATCTACATACACTATGATCTATTCATATTAATAATTTTCGTAAAGCAAATTTATTTTTATTTTATGTAAACAAACAAATACTAAACAACAAAAACAAATAATTCGTATATTGTCCACATAATCTTATATATTATTATCATTAATTTTATATTTTGCAACTCCTGATTCTTTTAAAATACAGATATGTTCTAAATCACGAAAATATTCATTATAATCCTAAAAATTTTAAACAAAAAAAAATAAGAATAATTTTTTTAAAAGAAATTTTTTCTTTTCTTACAAGTGCATAACCAACAATAAAATGATCAGGTATTTCAAAACCACAATAGTCTGGTTTAAAAATACATTGTTTATCTTTTCGTCGTTTTGTAAATAATGAAACAACTTGAATAGTTTTTGGTTGAAATTTTTCAAGTTGTTCTTTTAATGCAACCATTGTAATACCTGTATCAATAATATCTTCAATAATAAGTAAATTTCGATTTTTTAAATTATTTAAATCACTTAAACCAATAATTTCAAGTTGATTTGATGAATAATCATTAATATAACTACGTGTACGAATAAATTCTAAACTCATTGGTAAACTACGATTATTTTGAAGACTTTGTAAAACAAAAAAAGATATTATTTATTTATTAAATAAAATATTTAAACAAACCGATTTTCATTTTGAATTTTTGATATTAAATCCGAAAAAAATCGATAACCACCTTTGAGTACACATATACAAACTAATTAAAATAAAAATATTCATTCATATTTTGTTTTTTTCTTCTCCTCCTATCAAAATTACTTAGTTGTTCAGGAATATTAATAGTTAAATCATGAAATATTCGACTTGCTAATGCTTCAATACGATCTTGAACAAGTCCGTAAGGAATTAAAACATAGTTTAAATCATCACGATAGTGTAACGGTAAACTAATAAACTCTATTTTATATAATTTATATAATGAATAAAAAACAAAATAATAATTACTTAAAATAACGTAATGGATATCCTTCGAATGAATCGGGTATGATGATTGGATCGGCTTGAATATAGTATTCAGTAAGATTTTTTGTTTCAGCCATGTAATATTATCTTATGACTTGATGTAACCTTTAAATAAGAAGATTGAATGTCTCACAGACACGAGTAATCCTTCTTCTTTTCATAGAGTCTTATTAGTATTTCATTCGTCTGTTTTCTTTCTTTATATTTATTTCTTCTTTTTTCAGACTTTCTTTTTATAAGTATTAGTATGATGGGATTCTTTTTCTTTTTACTATCTTTCACATGCTCTTCTTGTTTCCTTTCATTATATATACGGTTGACTAATAATAAAGAAGCTTTGCATTTTAAAAAATGTAGTAGAATAAAACAAAAGCTACCTTAACAACGTAGTTTTTATATATAAAACGCAGTAGTAAATATTTATGCAAGAATGCTTCTGTAATACATCATAATCTGATAGAAGACTACATGCTTATGTTAGCTGGTTTAAGACAATATGGATGAATAAATCTTGATAGAAAGAATGCTATAGAATCTGTCAAATAGAAATAAAGAGTTTACTTCCAGGAGTATTTTTTAATTCATTAAGGTAATTAATAATGAAAACTTTCGTTCTTTATTGATAAATATTACGAATATAATTTCTACATATATAAATCTCGATCTTTCATTAAAATCGCATTAGACAAGACCAGAAGAGTTAGACAAGCTGACTACATTATTTTTGATAGTTTCCTTCAATTTGTTTGCTTTATTGAAATAACTACTATTTTAATATACTTGCAAAAGACATCATTTGCATTAGCACATTATATAGTTTTTATTTTATAAAAATTCTGTCGATTAGTAACTATGTGATCGTAATTCTATTTTTTTACATTGTAATTGAATTGCTAAGTACGGCGGAAGCAGATCATATGTTTTCATTTCCTTATACAATCTAGTTTCCCTTTCTAATTTCATCCTAAGATAAGAAAGACATGCAACTTTGATCATAAGCAAAAAAATGAGGAATTGAAATGAAAGCTTATTCATTCATGCCGACGATAGTACTT